GTGTGATTGCTTACCGGAACTAATACCGGAGCTGATACTGCCTCCTCCGAAGCTGCCGCCACGAGCGCCACCTACTCTGATGGTTCCACCTCGGGATCCACCGAAGCCTGCGCACAGAGTGATAGGATGAGACGAAACGATAGATGTAGTTGAATAAATAAATAGAGATAAAGTTAATGAACAATCATATTTGTTTACATATATACATATATATATTTATTTATACAATAAGTATGCTGCATATATCTATCTCTCTCTCTCTTCCTATATATATATAATATATATATATAGTGAGTGAAAGAGAAAGAGAAAGAGAGAGAAAGGAGAAAGAAGGCGAGTATAAGATAGTGACAGATATAAAGATTGAGATTAAGTGAGATAAGAGATAAAAGATAACAGATATAAAGAGAGAGAGAGATAAAAAGAAAAGAAAAAGAAAGCGAGAGAGAGAGATTGTAACAAGTAACTAATGTACGGTACGTACGGTACTATTATTGTACGGTACTGTACGGTACGGTACGATACGGTATGGTACGGTACGGTACTATTAATGTACGGTACTATAGGTAACGGCTTGCTCTGACATCATTAAGACACTCACCTCGCGCTACTGCAGCGAACCCACTGCTGCCTCCACGACTGCTGCTAAACACCGCACCGCCGCCACCGCTGCTGCTGCTGCCGCTGCTGCTGCCGCTGCTGCTGCCGCTGCTGCGGAAACCCCCGCCAGATATGGACGCAGCTAAGCCGCCACCGCCGCCGCTTCCTCCTCCTCCTCCTTGTTGGTAACCATCGCACATTGCCTGGGCCACGAAGACCAGCAGGATTGCTGATACGAAGATCGTCTTCATCCTAGACAGAGATAGAGGAGGCAGAGAGATGACGTGTGGCGACGGCCGGACGCGAATACAGGGATTGTTAGAGAATAGCATTCCTAACTACCTAACTATACAACTTCTTCCTAGCTACATCTATCTTCATGAATTCACATCTCATATGAAAATGTTAACTATATATATATATATATAGGACTCCGTCTATGTATACTACCACCGTACTTACACAGTAAAAAATATATATACATATATGTATATGTTTATATATTATTGAGTTATATATTGTAATGCTACATTACTCGCTTACTTGCTTGCTGGCAAAATAGTTCGTTTTCCTTTGAGGCTACGTGTATATACGTTTCTTGTTTTATCATTATAGCTGCATGCCTTTATTATCCCGCGCTTACATTTCAACTGGCGGCCTTGTTTACAATCTTAGCTGCACACAATGTTTACAATGTTTACAATGTTTACAATGTTTACAATGTTTACTTTCATGACTTGTTTTGCTTTCATGTGTATCGAAAGTGCGAAGGAAATGAATTTACATATACGACGAGCGAATACATGTTGTTACAGTACTTTATTACTACTAGTAGTATATAACTATATATTTATACTTCTACATGTAAATACATAATTTAAAAAAAAAAAAAATATGATGGCCTTGTTTTGTCACAATTGCTTAACACGTGTAGTTCAAAGGTCATCGAAATCTGACGTTCTCGGGTGTTATCCGAAGATGAACAACCCGGTTAGTTCACTTACAGAGGTACGTTCCGTTGTTCACTCTATCACTTTATCGTGTTTCACTAGATTTTCACCTAGTTGCAACGATTATCGGGGAAGTTTTTCAAAGGAAAGTTTACATTCGCAATCAATGTAAATTTTATCCATCTAATAGAGCGGAATTCGAACACGAACGTGTTAAAAATTTGATAAATGTTGAATTTTTGAACCTTCTGCGAGAGAAAAAAGCAGGTACTCAGTCTGTGATGTGATCTCATGCTATCATCTCAGCGTGCGCTACATTCGCGCCTAGATTCACTACACCTTATAATTAATATATATATAATTTAATTATAATGGCGTTAATCCTGCACCAAGCTGTGTCTAATTCCCCAACTTCGGTAAATCCACGTCTAACTCAATCATCATCTAGCGTTAATGTCAAACTATATACTATATACTCTATATTATATACTATATATACTATATATATACTATAGCGTTAATGTCAAACTAGAGTTGCGTAATATAAGCTCATTCTCGCCCGCTATAGTGCTGCCCCCTGCATGCGCTCGTTGTCAGCTGACTGGACGACAACTGCCTCCATGTTCACCGGTACACTGCCATATACTTTAGCGGTATTAGCTTTTTACTTATAGTGCCGGCTTTTGCGCACTGGCTTAGGAACCTGGCTGCGTGGTCCGGAGTGGACGGGGAAGGAGTCCAGCTTGACCGGGGCGAAGCGGATCTGTCCGTTGTTGTTCTTCTCGAATCCGTACGTCGCTCCCTGCTCGGTCTTGCCCTTTCCGCTCGCCTGCTGCGTGAACTGCTGGGTGGCGTCCTGGGAGGCGGTGCGAGAGGCAGATATCGTGCACGCAAGCAGCATATTTTTCCGCTCACTGCATTAAGCTTCACCGTGTACGGGCTGGCCACCTCCGCACAGAGGCTAAAGAATTTTGATGGCCATTCGGGAGACTGCCGATAGCTTTATTGGGCTACGGGCCGGGCACTTTGGCCCGCCCAAGCGGCGTTTCGTCCGGTATTCGCGTCCACATATAGGCAGAACACAACTTGCCCAGGTTTTCCAAAGTTGGTCCATAATCCATATCATACAGTTAAGCCGATTAGGCTAAGAGAGATGGGGCTGGTCGATAGTAAGTATTGCTTGCGAAACACTTGATCCTGATCCTATATAAAGAGGAAGCCAAGTTGAACATAATGTAGCTCTGTGTAAAAAGAGATGTTTTACTAGAGTAAATTTCAATTTCTTCATAACCATCTGAATATGGGTTACCGCCACCCTCATACATCTAGACTTAGGGAGTGTACATAGCACAAATTTTCCCTTCCCACGCGAATTTTGCCCGGGCTGCGGCCGCCTGAAACCTGCTTAAAACAAGCGTGCGAGACTTGCCACTTCGCACCCACGCGCCTCGCGCAATGTCGAGTGAAGATAATGATCGGCGCGAGTGAAAGCTAAAGCTGACTCGGCCTATGTTTGCAAAGGTAAAATTATTGTTAGAACTTTATCAAAGTGTCGGTTCCGGCTTAACGCTTATTATCGAAACATTGATGCAAATACAGGTGTAGCGAGTTGTGCAGGCGGCTACGTCCCACGACATCCTCACTTTATAATTATCAAAGGTCGCGAAAAAGCAGCCCGGGAGAAGCGTGCAGGCGCAGCTACAGGTGGCTTGTGTATACGTTGCTGGGGCGGCATATTGATTGATGTACGGGGAGGGGAGCGTGC